TTTTGACCCATCGGTACTGTTATAGGCAGTGGTGGATTTCAGCCGGTTCGTACGGGTTCTATAGAACCTCCTCACGGAATTTTATGAGATCAGCGAACCGGTTAGAATTACTGGTTACTGTCAATGTTTTGTTTGTAACAGAACCGGCTGAAAAGTATAACTTTTGTGAAGGAACCTGACAAAAAATTTGAATTCCACCACTGGTTGTGGGTGAGATGAAGTACCGTTTCGTTTTGATCTTCGTGCCCATCTATTTGAGCATGGCTCTCTTATTATTAATATTATTATGATGTTGTTAGTAGCTTTCTTCTTGTTGCTGTAAAAAAATTGCTTTTCATTTTAACTAGTGGATCAATTTAGAAATTATTAGTGGTTAAAGATTGTTGTTTTCGCTAGAATGCTATTACCTTTATTTATTTCAAAAATTTCCTTAGCCTCTATGGGATTCGTTTTTTGTTGCGTGTGTGTTTCATCAAAATAAAAATTGCGCATCTTGTGGCAGCGCCGCGTTCTAAATCATCCGATACATTGGTCAGTCAAAGTCGGGATGACTGAGCTTCAGTAACCGGTGCTGGGAAAGATTAAATACCCGTGTTACTTCGTTTTGGTTTTCGTGTCCTATATTTGATCACTGCTCTCTTATTTTCTTAAATATAGCCCTGATAGGATAAATTTGGCTTATCATCCATGTTCCAACTCTATACCCTCAATTGCTCGATCTAATTACAGTGGAATTCCATTCTATTATTAAATGGATTTGTTTACTTTATCGGCGCGTTATCCGCCGGTCTGATTGAATACCTTTTAATTATGTGATCACAAAGACCTATTATTACACACGTTCGACGTAACAATTAACTAATAATTTTATGGTTTAAAACGCCTTTGATTTGTCTGTCGGTCGGTTAATTTTAAAACAGGATTTCAGATATATCCTAGGGATAAATAGACGACAAGACGGCTAAATCGTAATTTGCCTTTTTATCAAATTTTTATTCGATTGTGACATGATATTGAATTTATAAGTATTAAAATTTCCGATTTCAAAAATATGGATAAGCTACAAAATTTTAATTAAAATGGAGTATATTTGATAATAGCTTGAATTTAAAAACACGTTTATAACATCAAAGCTACAATAAAACGATAACAGAAAACGTGGCGTCATAAATAATATGAAGGTCATGAACCCTTGGGTACGCTGATGTTTGGAATACATATGCAATTAATTGTGCGTTAAAGTAAAATCCACGCGGCCAATTTGTCATCAATATTGCTTTCGAAATGGTCTTAGATTGTTTCTAAATTATCTTTATGTTGTGATAATGCAACTGACCCTTAGCAATAGTGATGTAAGACAATAGCATAATTGTTCATGCCCCACCCTCAGTAGTTGAGTGATTTTCATGCGGCAAAGTTTTAAATATGATACTACGACCTTGGTTTGACCTTCATAAGGGGGGTCGTGTCGGCAATGTCAGTTGTGGCTTCTAAATTACTAGTGTTCTCCAATTACAACATCACTAAGCCATGCCTGTTTTGCTAATACCAAGATGGCGGACACCGGAACGTAGTGTGTGTACCAGGTTAGGGTCAGGCCATAATTTTATTCCACTTTTTCTTATTTTGGTTCTATTACGAGTTCTGGGACTAGCCAAGTGAATCCCGTAGTATTTGTACCTAAAATTATGGCCTGGCTCTAACCTGGTACACACACCACGTTCCGGTCTCCGCCATCTTGGTTCACATAATTGGCGAGCACCCCTATTTGATTTGATGTTCTGGAGTAAAAATTGTGACTTAACTTTTAGAATTTCTTACGGTGATTTAGACTCTAGAGTCCAGACAAATAATAATGTTCATAACGTGTTTTTTTTTTATAAACGAGATATATTTCACTCCATATTAATATTGTGGTGCAGACAATGAAGACAAAGATTATCATTTATTGAAATGGCATATACTTGGTTTGCCTTAGGTTGACACTTAATTTGCATATAATTTGGAAAACTGTTAAATTGAACGCCAGATAGTATATTAGGATTAGAACAAAAAGTTGTCATCATAATAAAATACAAAACGAGAATATCGGTCGGAGACCAAAGACTTATCGATCTTAGATCGGTAATTAGTTAATAACTCGCTAATTATACGACATAATTAACCCAAAATCTATAGGCTACTGGTCCGAGGTAAGATGCATGCACATGCAAAATTTGGAGCAGATTCAACCACGCGTTCGTGAGATATCGCGTTCATCTAACAGACACACACACAGACAGACAGACACACAGACAGACATACATACAAATACCTATCAATATACTTACCGATCTTAAGATCGATAAGTAATAAACAATTGAAATGTGACAGCATAGTTGCATAGTGTGACGTAACAACGACATTTGGAGGTGCATAGGCTAAGGCAGTGTTTCCCAACCCATGGGTCGTGAGTTATTTTGCCACCCGCGATTTCAAAAACTGGCTGATAGCAATCAAGTGCAGCTTTCTCACCTTGTTGTGATTTATGTAAAAATACATTTAATATGATTGTTTAACATTGAATATTTTTTAATTTTTTAGCCACAAAGGCACATGCATGGCGTTCAGTATTTGAGCATATATTTGGGTCGCGTTAACGATTTTTTTTTGTTTTAAATTTGGGTCGTTTGAAAAAAAGGTTGGAAATCACTGGGCTAAAGCATTGGCCTCATCTTGAATACGATAGGCTATGAAGTCCGCAACTGCATGTCGAATTTCAACTCTGACGTAGATTGTGGGCATATCGCGTAAGGGAAAGTGAAAGGGAGAAGTTTCCAAATATAAACAAGAAAGTAATACTTAATATTATAAACTGTTTTATCGAAATTGATCGGGCTAGAGCACACGTGATGCAAAATTTTTCAAAATCAGAAATATTCAATGCAAAATAACTGTTCCAGGAGTCTCCCCAAAATAATAAATGAATTGAAAAATGACACGATCTATTCGTTTATTATAGAAAATACTGCCTAATTTTGTAACTGTTGAAAAAAGCAACAATGGCATTTATAAAATTTGACAACAGTAGATACATCTGAGTCATTGAATAAAGTAATTTTAATTTACTCAGGAACATTAATCGTTACTAAACAACCTTTTTTTTAATTACCGCCACGTTGCCACATCTTGACGCTACCGTTGTCAAATTTTATTAATGCCGTTATTGCTACTTTGGACGGCTACAAAATTAGCCAAGTCAGTATTTTAATGAGTAAACGAATAGCTCACGGAGCCCCTATGTTTCTCTCACGGAGCCTTGGGGTCTGTATGAAGCGATTCGAGAATCTATGTGTTTAGCCATTGAACCTAGTTGGGTTTGCGTCGCAGGGTTATAGATTCTTGTTCTTTCAGAAACAGTAGTTTCTTATTTAACAGCGGCTGCTTCTACAATGCCTTGTTCCGGATGAAGGTACAGAAACGTTTCATAAAACTAAAACATTCTGATTCATATAGGAATACGTGAGGCATTTAGCCCATGCTCTTTTAAGTCGCATTACAAGAGTAATCGGTACTCCCGTAGTGTGTGTACCAGGTTAGGGTTCGGCCATAATTTGATTCCGACTTTACTAATTTCAGTTCAATTACAAGTTCGGGTACTGTCTGTGTTAGCCAAGTGAATATATCCCCCTGCCCATAGAATTCAGTTCCTTTACACTCTTTGATGTAAAGTAGCCAAACAAAATTAGTCACCTCCATATTGGTACACACACTTCTGGAGCGCCAAGTAACTAGTTTTAATGGGCGCTTGTGCACTTGCCCTTAGTTAACCCCTAATAAATCAAAAAGTCACTGAGGTCTCGACTTGTGCCAGCACTTCAATTATCTTCTTTAACGATCTTGACCTCCTTGGCGTAATTCGAATACGTTAAATTACGCGATAAATTAAACCTGTGATAGGATAGCCCAGTGTCAACTTCTAACACGGTCCGGAATTTAGAATATTTTACCGCTGATCATCAGTTATACACGGTTCGCATTTAAACGGAGTAAATTAAGGAATCCCCAAGTTTGATTGGGTATGGATTAGGAAATGAACTCTTTGCCGAGGTGAGGGATTGACGTAAGCGCCAAACACTAATCCGTAAGATCATTCGAATCGGGCAGGGGGAAATTGATATTACTTCAAAGCAGCAATTTCATCTATTTCTAGAAAGTATTAGAATTCTTCTCAAGCCCTATGCAGTAATAGAATTCAAGCCTTTGCCGGATAAATGCTCTTTTGCCGGTACTCCAGAAGTATGTGCACCAAGATGGCGGACACCGGAACGTAGTATGTGTACCAGGTTAGGATTAGGCCTTAATTTCAGGTACAATTACTACGGGAGTCACTTGGATAGTCCCCGAACTCGTAATAGAACTAAAATAAGATAAGTGTGAATAAAGTTATGGCTAAACTCTAACCTGGTACACATACTACGTTCCGGTTTCAACCATCTTGGTTCACATACTTCGGAGTACATTTTGCCTATATGACAGAGACGATTGCGATTAGGACCATAATATCGTCATTGCCATTTTTATCATAATGTTACATTGCATCCAGTCCCTACAGATCACGCTATTCGAGTGACCAAATTTACGACCCTATTCCTTATGGTGATAGGGGCAATCCATCTCTATATAATAATCATTCAATGGCGATTTAGACCATATATCCATTCCCGATTTCTAACCTGCTGTCCATCTAGCAGCCCAATAGCCCTCCACAGAGGAAGCCAAACAAATTGCGATGGGGACCATATATACATCTCTATTCCTAACCTGCTGTCTATATGGCAGCCAAATAGCCTTCCGCTATTCCGCGGTGAAACCAATGATCTTCGACCCGCGATGCCATCCATGATTATGTCTATCGCACAAACTACTAGCCCTTGCGCGCCCGGTATGAATTTTGTACTATACGGTGTATTTCTGTCTACAAAAATCTTCTGAGTAATTATAACAATTTTTGTTTTCGACTGATTTATTTTTGTTGTGCTAGTCGTTCGTCCAAATGCATTCATAAGTGCAACAAAAAAGAAAAAGTAGCAAAATTGAAAAATAAAAACAAGAAAGAAGAAAGCGTAATAATAATAATAATATTAATTAGAAAAAAAAATTAAAAATAATATCGTTATTTGACCCAAAAAATGTTCGAGTACCGAGTTTGACGGACGCTGTCACCTGTTTTTCTCTCGGATTGTGGCGTCATTATCACATCGTCGTAATCTCTTTGTTGCGTCATAATTATGACGCTTACTGTCATCATCGCAGTCACGTGCTTTGAGACTTTTTGTCATCTTCCAACTTTGTTCGCGTATCGTTCGTGTTTATTTCCCGTCTTCCCTTCCTTCCCTTGTTCTTTCTGTTTTTCCTGTTCTTCTTTTTGTTTAATTTCCGCAGTTGACGTTGATACCACTTGTTGATTACTGAAAATAGGAAAAAGCTGAATTATAGAACACAGCAGAGAAATTCTGGGAAAGGAATTTCGGTCCGTATTTCGCTGTAGTATAACTAATAATATTCGTTATTATTACGACGATAATGCTTATGCACACATGAACTACTTAAACTGTATGAAAGCGTGAGTGCAACTCTCGCATAATACTAGCTGAGAACAGAACAATCGAGATAGCTATCATTTAAATTAAGGGAGGAATAAAACGTCCAAAAATGAGCTGAGGTAGGAATTTAACGAGTTGGGCACCACCGTTCTATGTGAAGATAGAAAAACGCATAATAGTAACAAAAAACAAAATAAGCGGTATTTAATCTATAACGACAACACTTACATGGACATTTGTTTGGTGGCGTTCGGCATCGTTTCGATTCTTTTACCTTTGGACATTGCTTTCCGTTTTCAGTTGGTTCCAGCAAAACAGGCCTTGTTCTTTTCTTTCTTCCGTATTTACAAGAATGCGAAACCGATCTGCGTGCACATTTACTCCATGACGACCAGGGACCAACTTCACAATCGACTGAAATTGTAAATGGTGAGTGGTTAAACATTCAAAGCTGTTTCATTTATTACGATGTTTGGTTGTGTAGTAGCTGAAGTTGTTTAGCCTATCATGAATAAGCTTTTTGCTCTAAAACGGGAACTTTACTTCGCCAAAATAAACGTTAGGTAATCGTGGTATTTTTTGAGCGCAAATTAAAAATGACAGTCTTGGAGAAACTTCACTGCAAGTGATAAAAACTCATTCGCAGGAATACTTCAACGTTTCTAAAAATAGCGACTCCTTACGTATCGGTGGAAACGGCGAGCGGCAAACAGAAGAGACCAAAATAACAGTTGGGAGCTAGCTCAACAAAAAACAATAGAATGACAAACAGAACGGGGATTTCCCTGACGTCACAATATGCTATATACAAAAATAAGTGCATTGAAATCCACTAGCTACAAAAAAAATATTAATACTGAAAAACTACTGATGGTCACAACAAATAATTCAGTTCTCACCTTTCTCTTCGCATTTCTTTGTAGCCGAATTGGGCGCCATATTGTCTGGGCATGTTTTCAAGCATTTAGCATCGTGAAGGAAATACCCATCTTTGCAAGTCGTACAGTAATTGCTTGTAAAACAGGATGCGCAGTTTAAAACTTGACATTCTGAAAAATATTCAAGTATTTAGAAATCGTTTGAATTAGTTGTTAAATGTCTTCTCCACTGCAATGTCGCGTTATTAAATAGGGCATTGTAATTTGAATGACATGTACTATGGAACTCAGGGGCGGGGGTTGAGGGTCCCCTTTTTGAAATTTAAGAAAAAAACTTTTTTCTGTATCGCACATCGCATTTTTTGTAGCCTGAAACGTGCTTCAGACCATCAAGACTCTTGCAAACCGCCAGCTCTCACTTGGAAATTAGAAACTTCAACACGTATTTATTAGCACACAATGCACGAACATACATCTATGTCATTTCAGTACTTCTTTGCATTTCGGTTACTTGCAACTTCGCCCAACCGTAAGCTCTATTAGTTCTAAGTGAGTGCGCTTCCTTTCATTTTGAAATTTCGCCATACAGAAAGGACTAAAACCTTAATCAAAAGTATGCTTACTTTTACACATATTCGTTTCCTTCCCCCGGGAGCCATAATATCCGTCTGGGCAGTCGTGAAGGCAAATTCCTCTCTGTCGATGCCGTATCTGACCGAGATATAAAAATGTTCGAGACCGGCATTGAGTGCAGCCGTTGACCGGATCGCAAGCCACGCATCTCGACGGACAGGCGTTCATGTGCCGTTCTAAAAAGAATAATAAAAATCGTTAAAAAAAGTTATCAATTTTAGGCTCAAATAGTTTATAAGCATTTTTCTAGATACTATCTCTTATTAAAACAAAATAGAACAATTCCATTTTTTACGGTGTGTTATGTGCGTGTGTAGTTTCATTTACCTCGAGCAAAGCTGTGTTGTTTAAAATTCTTAGTGTGTTACCACACTTATGTCTTATCGATTTTGAGTAACATGATAACCATTGAAACTGCTGTAACATACAGGTTTGAATCTCAAATGAGATAATTATAGGCGAGAGGATTGCTGAACTCGCTTTCGTATGGTGGTTCACGTAACCACTGTTCGGTTAAAGTGTTTTCCACCATACAGATTCATGCGTTTTCAACGGATAACTAGTTAACTATGCCCGACATGGACTGGTAACTAAATAAGAGGACGTGTCCTCAATTGCTATTGCCTACCCCTCCCTGCCCTAATGTGTAAAGGATAATTCAATGCATTAGTTTATGATTTACACCACGGTTTATAATTTCTCGTGCTATTGATTTTTGGTTGCTCCAGAAGTATGTGTACCAATATGGAGGTAACTAATTTATTCCGTCCATTTTTACATCAAGTTGTGTAGTGGGACAGAAACCTATAGGCAGGGGGTTATTTACTTGGCTAAGGACAAACAGTCCCCGAACTCGCAATAGAACTAAAATAAGAAATATCGGAATAAAATTATGCCCTAACCCCAACCTGGTACACACACTATAGGAGTACCACCTGTAGGTAATGCATCCTTAACGAATGTTAACAAGGCTTTGGTTGTTTCATCGCCATCATTTCCCACAGTCATCAAAGACATATATAAGTTTTGATTGACGCTTTGAAATATAGGCCTATCTAATTTCAATGTTGAATTATTATCAAAGATACACTTGGCCAAGCTTAAACAAGAAAATGTTTTCTGTTTCATCATCGGACCATGTTTGTTCGTTCATAGATGAATGACCTTTTCTGATATTAGTTGCTTGATATTTGACACCTGGTATCACGTTCATGGTTCATTACTTCCGGGACGTAATAATACTTTTGTACTCGTGTCATTATTACATAAGAAACATAATACCGAACAAATTATGACAACATAATGCGGCAATTGTTAGAAGATAATATCTCCGTAAATATTATAGGAATGAGTCTTAACAGTGATTTTTACAGGAACACAAAATTAATTGATTTTTTTACTTCATGTAAATGTTTATATTAATGCTTTCATTATCAACTATTTTGCTAGTGTTGTAATGCAGCAGGAAAACCTTTTTGGGGAAGACTGCCCCTCGCTTACGAAGCCTCATATTTTTAGAAGAGGTTTGGAGCCACACAGGTCTTAAAGATTTGTTATCCCATTGTTATCAGTCCAGATTAGATATGGAAATATTTCACCGATTTATTATACCTCCTTTGACCTAGAAAGTTTTATAGTGACGGGTATCATAACGGACCAGTGTTTACGTGAGCTAACTACCCAGGGACGGCCACGATTCCAGTGATTTTCACACAAATTCCGCCGCTGGAGATTTAAACCTTAAAAAAGCGAGGGGGAATCAGTGCTGCGGCTTCAAGCGGTCGAACGTTTAGCACAATGGTCCAATCGACGTGTCAAAAAGACATAACCATAAGTAGAAAACGCAGATTATACATTTAATGGTTGGTTTTTATCTTATATTCATTTGTAGTATTTGGTACTTTTTTACCAATCGCGATCGCACTTCTTTTTTCAAATTTTCCAAAATGTCTGTTTCGTACACTCATAAATAAATCATGAGTCTGGCTCTCATCAAAATTAAATCAAAGTAATTTCACCGCTGTTTCTTGTTAAATAATTTTTCTTTGTAGTTTTCTCTGTATTACAACACATCAATCTTTGTGAAGTTGATGGTACTTTATAATTATACAGTACGAAAGTACTGTCTCGAGATACACCCGGGGTGTGAGCAAATCTGTCGCCGAACTTGTCATTTTGGTTTTTCCGAAGTATGTGAACCAAGATGGCGTACATCGGAACGTAGCATATAGACCAGTTTAGGGTTAGGTCATACATAATTTTATTCCAATTTTTCTTATTTTAGCTTTATTACGAGTTCGGGGACTAGCCAGGTGACTCCCGTTTGTAATTGGAATAAAATTATTGCCTAACCCTAACCTGGTACACATACTACGTTCCGGTGTCCGCCATCTTGGTTCACATAATTCGAGAGTACCGATTTTTTTTGGTTTCCAGAACCCGGTTTATTTTCTACAACTCATTGTGCGTGGCGATACCAGAAAAAGTGTGAAATACGTCTAAAATTTGTTGAATCTAACTTAGAGCGTGGTTGTAGTAATCAGATCATGTTTTTCGCGTTTAAAAATGTAAAATATATTTTTACAGTCAAATATGAGCCTCTAATCTCCCGCCACTGATGCAAAAATGTAATATGTGAGGAAAACACTCCCGCTACGCTTTTTGGATTGAAGTTTGCGCTCACCACGATAACATTGACGGGTTCTTTTTACAAAGATTCTATGCTCCTAATAGGGAAAACATCATCAGTAGCAAAATAATTTAATATCTTCAGCACTCACACACACCCATGTCAAGTATCTTGAGCTAGAGTGCAAACAACGTACGTGCTGAATTGCAGAGAGTAGTAAATAATTTATACGGAAAACAGATAGTAACGGCGCTTCAGTTCATGTCAAAATTTCATCCAAAAAAAGAGATAAATAGGTATACTTTGTAACTTCTGGATGGTTCGAACAAGGACGAAACCACTCAACAGAATCCGACGATAAAATTAGGCGAACGTAGACGAAACTGTATCTAAAATATAACAGACGTAAACCAAATGAAATGAAACTTGGCCGACGCCAAGATGTTGCGGACGTTAACGAAACGACGTAAAACTATCTGACGCCACTAATACTAACGTATAGTATTGTGGACGTACACGAAATGAACTTCATCTTCACGACATAAATCTTCCAGACGCCAAGATGTTGCGGACGTAGACGAAAAGGTATAAACTATCCGACGCCCAAATATCGCGGACGCAGACGAAACGCTACATCTGGAAAACCGCAGCCGAGTATATTAACCCGAACAAATACATACACAGCTTGGCCAGGGTATCAATGGCGGGGAACTTTCCCGTTCCCAATTGTGAATCATAATGGATTTCTAATTGTCTGAGGATTAGTTAAAAATAGTCGTTCAGAACAATGAATCTTAGATAATTTAAACCCCTTGTTGGAGTCGTATTGTAACCGCAGCAGCCGTGTGGTCGCACTCTTACTTTCTCGAAACAAAAACCTGTCTGTTGATTGCCCCTAACCGAATGTAGAAGCTTTGTTTATACAATAGAACCATGAGTTAGAGTAGGAATTCTCATACTTTTGGTGTTACTGAGCCCTAGAAGAGGTTGACTGTTATTTACGGAGCCCCACAATAATTCTATTAAAATGGAAACAAAAAACACATTGCTATTTATCAAATAATATCCCTGAGTAAACAAAAATTATTTCATTCAATGACTCGGATGTATTTTCTGCTTCGTATTTAAAAAAATATTCGGTATTTTAATAAGTAATAAGTACTTAAAGAATAGCTAGCGGGGCCGTAGGTAGCTCACGGAGCATGGCACGGAGCACTTTGCGAACCTATATTTGTGAGCTGTTAAAATGGTTTTTATTTGTATTTTGTAGTGTCTGTCTGAATATTGGCACCCCATAACTCGTAAGATTTATTTTACATATATCGATATATATGTACCAACCATATTTAACGCTACACATTTCGAAGGAAAACAAGGCCAAATTATTGAATAGTTTATTTTAAATAATGTCATCACAAAATAGGTCATGAAATTCGTGTTTTATATCTTAGTACGTTGGGGTTATTAACAGTCTGTCCATAAAATATTTAAAGAATAAGTACATTTAAAAAATAAAAAAAGAAGATACAATTAGGACAATATAATACCTAAAATATCAGAAAAGTGTCCTAAATTGTGACTTACTCATATCGACATATCCAATAAATTGGTTCTTGCAATTATGTTCAATATAACAGCTACTTTTGGTCATATTGAATATTATAAATAGAATCAAATATTCATATCTCGATTATTTACCCCACAAAGTGTGCTAGACCGCTTTCCCGACCAGACAGGCTTAAGATCTGACCGCGGTATATACCGCAGACACTCAAGCGATGACTGATGTAAGTATATGGCATAGATAAGTCCCGATTGATGCGAAATATATTGAGAAAGTATGGATATGAATAGACTGCAAAGTCGCCATCTGTTTTAATTACATGAAGGTAGCTTTGCTACATAAATTTGTTGTTGTTTACAAAGATTCTGAGTGCAATCCCACAATTTAATCATGAATCCAAGTTTCTATACTTATTCTAACCATTTGCCTAAATTCCTTTATACATTAATATACCATCAAAAACGTTTTCCGCGCAAAAAGACGTTTTATTTATTATGCTTAAAGAAAATGTGGACCGATAAATTTTTGCCATTCGCCGCCGGTGCTGCCGATACCGTATCATCAGTTGGGGTGGTCGCACAAACGTTTTCCGCGCTAAAGTACTTTAAGTAATATGCTTGGAAAAAACTTTGACTGATCAATTTTCGCATTCACATGCCAATATTGTAGCATCATTTGGGGTGGTCACTTGCGACTAGTCTGTTTTTCATTTTCTACGTTTAGTCAATGAATCAGTATACCTTCTGTTAAAGCAAGCATGTATAAATCCTTCTTGTAGCTTTTATCTTTTCGTAAGTTGCTTGCAATTTCACCAACACTGTATTTGCTTGGATATACAGGGTCGCAATTTTGTTTGAATTTACATAGACACCACGTGCGCAGATTCATATAATTTTGCCAATATTATTTATACAATTCAAGTACCTTCATCCGGTAATTATTACAAACTTGTTAGATCTTCCGAATAGTTTCGCGGGTTTTCGGTAACTACCGGTGTTTTGACTGGAATTGATAGTGACGTGTATCGCTTGTAATTTACAGGAAACATTGTTACATTTTTGTGGTCGAAAAAACGCGAGAAAAACGGTTCTTAAGCGGAAATGATTTGGAGTTTTAAATGTTTATTGAGTCGTTAGCTCGCACTTGAACTGCTCATTAACACTTACATCATGTTTTGATCAATGTGTAATTTGTCGATGAAATAGTAATTAATTAGGGCACTGGTTTCAAAATTTGCGTCGAGACGAAGTACCTAGTGCGTCGCGATATAATTCCGACTGAGTCGGTAAATATCAATTATTTAAAAAAAATACAGTTAGTGTCTGTCTGCATTCAAAACATAAAATGATGAATAATGATAAAATTAAAAAAAATCATGACTAGCAAATCAATGACTCGATTACCAAAATCATTATTACGTCATTCAATAACGTCATGTCATACCAGGAATCAGGAATCCTTCTTGACTTTTAATAAAATGGATTGATCGGTGGATCCTTGGTCCGTTGACTTTACGACTACTCATTCTTTTTGACGTCACAGTACTAGTCATTGTGACGAATACCATCGCTACAGCGAAAATCACTATATTGTTCATTTTTATTTATTTAACTAATTCTTCTACAAATAGGTTTGTAGGGGTTCTGAAATGATTAACATAATATATATAATTTTAAAAATAGGAAAAAAATACTCAAAAACCAAAATCGAATTCTCCCGCGTCGACTTACAATTAATATGATATATACGAACAAAAATATCAATTATTAAATATATAATCAAATATTTATTATAGTCAAGATTTTAATTAAATAATTTGTGATGTCTGATCATTTCTAAACCAACTATGCTATCTCGAATCTAAGACTGAACTAAAACCGAAATAAACGAATTCCGATTCCAATTCGTGCTCTCAAACTCGTTTTACTCACGAGGGGGGTAGCCAAGGGTTGAGTGTCGGACCCTTTTGAAGAGTAAAAAAGCATTTTTCTGTATGACACATAGTAATTTTCGTACCCACTGACTGCTATGGTATGCTATGCTATACTAACTTGGCAATTTGAAATTTCTTCCCCTGCTGCTTACTACAGACAACCCACTGTCAAACAAACAAGACTACGTTATGTTAAGTAAGTGCTATTCACGAAAAACTTATAGCTAATATTAAAAATATAAGAAGATAGATGTCTTTTGATTCAAAGCATCTGCCCTCTCAAATTAACGTACGTTTTCGCCCGCAATTACAACTTTTTGTTTCTAGTTATCACCAATACCTAAAATCTTACACTATTTTAAACCACTGGGACTTATTTTACATGATTCAACTGTTCATTTTTCCTTATGTGAAAACGATTACGACTAGTAGGAAGAATGTTTGACTAAGTTCAAGCGTCTATAAAAGCAATGTATTAGGGTAAAGCATTAGCAAAACCAGCCTGCTTTTCTAACATTCACTTCGTCAACAGACCTGGTTCACACTAACTCTCTTATCAGATATTATTCTCCCACTTTTACTTTTAATTTCATTAAATAGCCGTAGCGTTCTTTTTCGAGACCCATACAAGGCTATCTTTTACCCAGAAGAAAGATATGTCATGGAATTCACTTCCATTTAGTTATTTTCCTGACAGTTTCAACTTGAATTGTTTCACGTATCGTATTTACTCAGATTTATTCACATCTTTATCGCGAGAATTCGCATCTCTGGAGTTGCTTGCAAGCAAGGACGTTTCTAGAGGCGGTCAAGGGGCAGCACGCCATTTGAGTCACGAGTTTGTTGATTAGTTTGATGATTTAAATGCTAATAATAACAAACATTTCACTCTCGCTTTCAATTTATTCTTTTTAATGTATAACATCTATCATTTCACCCCCCCCCCCCCCCCCCCCAATTATTTTTGAAGTTGGGTATAAGGGGCATCATCATCAGAAACCTGCCCGGCACCAGAAAAGTTTGACACGCTCCTTCTTACAACTCTTCTATCAGTACTCTTTCCACTATTAGTTGAGGACTCGGGACCTTGCTTTGAACAAATTTGCAACTCTTCTATCAGTACTCTATCCACGTTTAGTTGAAATGGGGATCTTGCTTTGAGCAAACTTGCAACCTATCTATCAGTACCTTTGCCCCTTTTGGTATATGACTATATTCTGATTTTAGCAATCTTCATAAAAAAATAATTATCTGTCTTCCTATCCAGATACCCACTTCCGACAGCGGTCAAATACAAATGCCTTCAAGATCATAAAGTTAACGAGTATATATATGTGAGTCGTAATTACAGTCGTTCGTTATAACTAATGCTTTTACAATAGAAATACATATATAAGCTACTCAAATTCTAAGTAAAAGTCTGCTAAAACCAGAAAACGTCAATTTGGTGTTTTTTATTCAAACACACTCAATCATACTTAAAAAATTGATAAATCTTACATAAAAAAGAAATTTTAATACACCGCCATGCATGGTTTATCTAAAACTTTTTAAGCAATTGAAATTGCTTGGCGGTCGAATAATAAACCTGAGACGAGCTCGTAATTGACGGTAACTTAATACTACGATCAAGGCACACGAACGGAATTATAATTTGTAACGTTAAGACCATCTTGAGCGTGGTCTTATTAAATTTTATTGCTGATTTTTATTTCGATTTTTCTAGAAATGTTGAAGCATGCTAACGAAAATGGAACGTGACAAGACGTATCCAGAATTTTTTTTGATTACGAGTTCAATGATTTTAATTAATATTTTTTAGTTATATTTTTGAACGGAAAGCCCGTGCTATATTGAATTCGTAAAATCAAATTTATCAGTGATCTTTATTTTTATTTTGGAAATATTTTTCCAGAACGGTTAAAGACTTTCTAACGAAACGTGATAAATCGCATTCAACGATTTTAATATTCATTTACCAGATGATGGATGGTTTGCGCTGTATAGGAATTATATTTGCAGTTTTTGGACACTTTAAAAATTTGATTATCGCCTGAGATTTCGGATTAATAAGACATAAATTATTTCACTTTTGGGCAAAAATAGAGGCCTTAATAAATAATAAGCATTACATTATGAGACAAAAAAACAATTCCCCCTTAAATAAAAATAAATAAAGAACTATGAAATGATGCTAAAATAGGTATAGAAATATTTCATTATTTCCTGTTTCTTTGAGATCTATTAATGTATCGAAACCAATTTAAAATACAAAATTTTTTTTTTCAAGTTTTCAATGAATTCATCTAATGATTAGCTATTGATAACAGAGTATTAATTTAAAATGTTTTCATTCAAAAATGAGTTGAGTCATAGATGATATAATTACCGATTAATTTTATTGTTGGATGTGATTATTCTTGTTGTTGTAATTTTTTTATTGTACAAAATCCCCTTTCTCGACAACTAATGAAACAATCAATGGTTATGATCGCGTTTCATGCACACCTAAGATAGCGTAAGTAAGTTAGTGTTTCGATTACCAATACCACTACCTCGTGGTGTAATAAATTGGATAAGCCCTACTGAACCAGAAAGATCCTGTCCCATTGTAACTGTAGAGGCTTTTTATTTTGCAGTGCCTGCTGGTACAAAGCTATGTTCAAAGAGATTAGCTTATCAAACGTCGTGTAGATACGTCTTCACAACAATATTAAACTTGAAAGAGTCTAAAAGGCCGTTCATGCTACCAAAAATTGCTATGTATGATACAAAAAAATGCTTTTTTTGATTTCCGACGTTCAAATTTCCCCTTCCTACGCCACTGGAAAGTCGTATCGATAACTCTGCTCAACAATAAAGAACCTAAATCGCTTTCTTCTGACCAGTTTTGCATGTTTCATGATAAACTTTCAATTTTTTTAATTATTTATATTTGCTTGTAGGTTGCGAAAAATTGCTTGTATGATACAGAAAAATGCTTTTTTTTTCATTTCCGACCCTCAAACTCCCCCAACCCCTATGCCACGCCCCCTGGAAAAGGCGTAACGAAACTTCATATAGATAAGTCTGTACAACAATACAGAACCTAAATCGCTTTCTTCTTACCAGTTTTGCTTGTTTTACGATTATTCATTTTTAATTATTTATTTTTGCTTGTCGGTTAATCAGGGGTTGAAGCAATTAAAGTATTAAGCAAATAATTCGCTTTGATTTTGGCGGCATCGTTTCGTTCGCGTAAGGAAACCCTCGTGTGTTAATTGTATATTACTTTTCGCGCCAAAACTAATAATTAAAATAATTAATTTCCCGCCGAAACTTGCGTTTGCACGCACTCTTCTAAATTTAGCACCGTATAACATTTGATTACAAATATATTGGATACTGAACTAAAACCTCTTTTGCCAAATAATTGAAAAAATAATATAAACAATTAAAGAATTGAAAGCGCAACTAAATCAAAGCACGAAAAACTAATAAACCGATTAATTATGTTTTATCTTCAAAGTACTTTCGACCGCAATTTGTTTTTGATAAATGTTGAAATCTTTTTTTAATTAGGCCGGAATAAGACGAAACAATGAATGTTTATTCTTTGCTTAATACTTGAATTAGATGTGGGAATGACTATACAGTCTTGACTGGGTTGGAGAGGGCATAAATTAACATGGAAAATATCGTATCTAATGAATGTTTCCTCGACCTATGACCCCGAATAAATACTTCCTATAATTTAATATTGCAACATTTTGTTAACTAATCCACTTGTAAAAAGAATTTCATGACTACCTAATACAATAACGAACGGCAATTTTCAATTGTTATTCAAAAGCAGTAGGACGGACCCCCCTCACTTTTGGCCATCGAAAGTCTCGAAAATCCACGTTATAAATTTTAGCTCCCCATCCGAAAATCTCTGGCTACACCCCTGGTGAGGAGCTCTATTTCTGGTTCGCCATTGCAAATTTATAAAACCCTAGTAGAGGTGACACGGATTAGATTTAAACACGAGATGGTAATATAGCTAACCGCTTGAACCCTGTATGCCGGATTTCCGGGTTGCGCTTAGTGTCAGAAGCAATCATATCTCAAGAACCACACTAAGTTTTCAAAAAAGTTTTATACTGCATGGAATGTAGTCATTAGCAATTAGTTTATATCATAAGGATTGGTATTGTAAAGATTTATTTTACGATTGTCTTGGAAAATTTGATTAATCAAAGTTCACGTCTAAACTTAAGTTTGCGTTCCTAAAATGAAATTCACACTGGTTATTCTAATAACAAATCGCTTCATATCCATTTAATTTAAAAAATTTCGTGGTAAACTTAATTTCAAATATTTATCAAATTTGTTTATCATTGAATTCAATACCGAGAAACCATTACACATCTGCCCTCATAATTCGTGTTAGAATTTTTTAATCATGTCCGCAATTAATGATTTGCGCCATTTTGTTTTGAATCGTTCAAAATTGAACACTGTTTCACCTTGTTTTTCGATGGATAATAAGTTCATTAAATTTGAATCGTAAGTCATCTATCCTGCATTAGAATCCAGGAGTTTCCCGCAATATACGGATTTCAAAAAATAATGGGATTAGATTTCAGTATAGTTTTAGTTAGTTAAGGGCATTTTATCCGTCAGGTAAATAATATTGTACGAAATTAAAAAAAAAACGTTAAATGTTAATGGGAAAAATCACAAATTTTTTAAAATTATCGGTACAGATATCTCATCCATGGCACTATACTACACTAGTGATCCGGTTACTGTTTGGCATTTCCTTTCCTTACACAATATATATATATTATACGGTGGTGGGATTCAAATATTTGGTCAGCCGGTTCCTTTTTTTAGCAAATAAACCAGTAATGCTGAGCGGTTCGCTGATCTCATAAAATTCCGTGAGACGGTTCTATAGAACCGGTGCGAACCGGCTGAAGCCCACCACTGTATATATATATGAACATTGAAGTACATTAAGTTTTTTTTTGATTTATCGATACCATATATTGTTTTGGCCTTCACAGATATATAAAATGAAGTAAAAATACAAAAAAAAAAACTGATCAAGATATATTGATAACTGAATTCATAAAATAATTGAAATTGTAAATGGAATTTATGGATACCCTGTATATTATGAAAACAACCCCAAATGTTTATTGAAATAGGCAGGTATTGACCTACTTATCATACCTACATCTTAATTTCGAACATATACATAGGTAAACTAATTTTTATCATGGAAGACAATTTCACATATAACAAGGGCAATTTTCCGATTAACTGTTATCATAGCAATCTTCCGTTTGTAAACGATGTTTTTGTCTGTGGCCGTATAAAAGGATTAATATTCACTTGCTATCGTTGTCGCAATTTTTGTGTTGTAAATATCTATAATTTTGTAAATTTGTTAAAATGCGAAAATATATATATTGGAATGTAGAATAAGAATTATATGATTGACAAAAGTAACGTGTTCCTAACCACTGTCTCCGTTGAATTTTGACTTTAATCTGTGGTTAGCCCACGGTTTTCGTGAATTTTTTCTTCTGGGTAAGCGATATATCCTGTACCTAACTACTTTTAATTTTCTCTGTTTGTCTAAGTAAGTGGATCTAGTCACCGGTACTCAATCCCCTGATCCACAAATGACCCAATTCTGGGCCACATAAACATTTGTAGGTGGCCATAAACATTGCTGAAGTTTTTGATAAATTAGTATAGTTTGATTGGACTAACATGGAATGATGAAGCTGTTTTGCAAAACTGAGTGGTCTTTTCCTTTTGAAAAAAAAGTGGCAGTGTTTATTTTTGCGAAGAAAATTTCTAGTTTTTCTATAATTTTTTCCTTTCTTGAGAACTTTGACCGACCCCAGAATTTTTGGCGGCCCAGAGGTGTGTGTACCAATATTAAGGTAACTACTTTTATTCGCCTACTTTACATCAAGTTGTACAAAGGGACTGAAACCTATAGGCAGGGGGTATATTCTCTTGGCTAACACAGACAGTCCACGAACTCGTAATAGAACTAAAATAAGGAAAATAGGAATAAAATTATGCCCCCAACCTGGTACACGCATTACGGGAGTACCGAATTTTTGTGCAACAAAAGTGACTCACGCGAGTAAAAAAGGTTAAAATCCACTTTTCTAAGTCAAGAGTAAATATGCTTCATTAAAACTAAATAAAACCATAATATTTTGATGCCACGTTACATCGGCGACATCAGACGATTATCTTGATAAGTTTTACAAATTTGAGCGATTACGAGGCATGTCACGTTGTTAAGCGTAATTTTCTTTGTTACTCAGACTTATTCGATAATTTTGCTTCAAAAATTCTCTCAAATTTCGACAAATAAATTGCTTGAAATTCCAAAGTATAATATAAGAAATATTATAATTCAGAATTCGGTAATAAAATATTAAAATTTTGTGAAATTACTTTCCGGTCTTTTGTTTTAGGAAGCTATCATATTTTACTGTTATCAAAGAGGATGTATTTCAAAGGTTTTCATATTCTTTGATCAATTTAACAGAGGAGAAATTCTCTAATACAGTGGTTTTCGGCGAGGGTTCTAACAGCTTTAGCCAGTTTTAGAATTAAAATTTTATATCGATTGGTTCATAAGTTGTCGAGAAAAGTAATTGCCCACGATACCAACAAACGCAACAAATATGAAGAAAAAATATGTTAAAGCGAATGATTCAGTCTAATAACCAATATGAAAATATTAATAGCGACTATTACAAGCCCGGCTTATCATTCAAATCG